TGGTTAGCTGTCCAGTGGGTGACTTTTAGCAGGAACATTGTGAGAGCAGGGTGATAGGGTTGTAGCAAGAACAATCTGCAAGTTTTTATGCAAAGACCTGGGTTAGTTCTTGCCAAATAGGTAGGATTTAGCATAGGGGTTGCATTCCTGGTGAAGAGAACAAGTAAGAAGCACGTGGTATGCTCAGCACAGTCCTGGAACTTGGGCATCATAAGTAGTAAGGAAAACCTGAGCACCAACCGGAGTTGAGATAGGGAGCCTTGGACATGGAGAGGGTGTACAGACTGAACGCAGGGAACTAGTCCCACATTTACAGAGCAGGTCGAAGAGCTGGTGGAAAGTGCACTGAAATTTGCTTTGACAAAGACCAAAGTCAGGGAACATTAAGGAGGGTAGTCAGCAAATGCTACAGAGGCCCAGACAACTGAGCACTGAGGAAGAACCTCTGGCTTTGAACTGATGTGCCAACTCTCTTTAATGAGGGTGGTGGCTCTTGGCTGTATTGTCTGTGTGGACTAATCTGTTATCATGTTCCGCTCCATTTTTTGGATTTTCACACTGTGTTTAAATATCATATAAACTGGTCCAAAGTATCCAGTGAAAACAATAAAACTCATTATCAATTCTTATTCCTTCCCAGCTGTCCAGAGCCACGTGAGGTTTTTAAGGTCTTCCTTCTGTGACCACCCTCTTTCCGCTCACTGTAAAGCAGCTGTTTCCATTCACTACTGTCATCCATTCTCTTTAAGTGGCTTCTGTTGGGACCTCGCATTTGGAGATTGCACTGTAACTGTGGCCAGCTGCCTTGCAAATTCAAGTGACTGGCCACAAGGGAAACCAGATGAGGGATGGGTAGATCAGGTGAACCTATCATCCCTACTACAAAACATGTGTTCAGCTGATAGCAGATCAGTATCATTTTCTCCAGGAGTAAGAGAATCTATTTCAATGCTTATCATACATGCAGAGTTGTGACCAAATTGCCAGAGGTGACAGTCTCGGTGTCGCTTCTATAAAGATGTCACTAATGCTTAATACTCAGATTTTGTTCTGGATTTTATGACTTGCATGCTGACATTTATTTTGCACAATATAAGCTATGATCATGTAGATTTTAGTTTATTTTCTTTCTCTTAGAGAGATTGGATTCCAGCAACTATTAGCTGCTGCATGGGGGAGCTCCATAGGTCGCTGCTCATCCCTGGTCCAGGCAACAACTGCTGCGGGGGAATAGAGCACGTCGCAGGGAGTGCGGTGCTCCAGGATCTGAAGGTCACTGTCCTGGGCCAGCTGAGATGGGAGCATGGACTCTGAATCCTGCAGAGCCAGTCCTGGCAGTGTCACGGATGGGGGAATAAACACGAGTAGTTGCAAATACTTCTCTGTTTGCCAGGGAAGGGGACATGGCACTCCCCTCTAGTAGGGAAGGCCCCAAGCCCATTTGTTCAAAGGCTTTTATTGAAACATTTATCAGTGGGGCTAGGTAACAGGAATGCACAGGTTATCTCATTACATAAGTATGTTAATGTTTACTGAGAATAGATGATGTTTTGAAGAAAACATGGCAAGAACACATCTATTTACATGGGTCTGAGAGGAGACTAGTAAACAAGATGACTAAACATGAGAGCGTAGTAAACATGAGAGCAACAAAGGGTATAGGGTTAGGTCTGTGAATAATGTAAATTTCCTTCCCAGCATGAGCTGGTTATCATATCTTTTGAGGGAAAAACAAAGCATAATTTAAAGAATTTACTTTTAGGCCTGATTATCGCTGGGAACCACCAGATCTAGTTTTTTAGGGCTGTCTCTGGTATTGTTTTAAGCCTGAGCCAGGCAGGGGGAGGGAGCCACCAAGAGACAAGGAGGCTTCTTTCAGATAGAATGAGGACTCCAGCCATGTACAAGCTGAGCTGAGGGGAGTGGGCCTTTATGCCCTTTCTCTGTTTCCCCCATGCCCTTGTCTGCTGCCCATACCAGCCAATGTCTGTTTTAGGTTGTTTTCTCCTTGTGAGAAAACTTACCCATCATCAACAAGTGACCATCACAGGGCCAAACATGGTGATGTGAGGGGGGCAGGGGCTGCGCTCCTGCCAGGGTGGGTAGTGGCCTGTTTTCCCAAGGCCTCCCTGATTATTTCCAGCCTTGGGGCCCTCTCGCCTGTCTGGGGGTTACAGTTCCCCCGCTAGACAGGTCGTTTCCCCAACAATCAATGGCTTCCTAATTTATACTGAATAATTTTCATAATTGAACCCACTATGTAGGTAGCTGCTTAACATTTATTAACTTATACTGTGGGTGGAATCAGCTAAGAATATGCAGATATATACTGGCATGAAGAATATTATTTTAATAGCTGGCACTAGAGTTCCTGGTGGGGCAGGTGTTTTCTTTGTGTAGAAAAGTATTTTGCTAAACAATTTAGGAATGGTAGGTGGCCCTGAAAGTAGGATTAGGAGACAGAGATACTAAATGTACTGTATCGAGAGAGAGGACAGGAGCGATGGGAACAGAGATAGTGGAAAGTGGGAAGTTCCAAGTTTATACTGAAAGAGGATGGGATCAATGGAATCCAATGCTGTTGGGATACAGAGAACTTTAAGAGGAGGGAATTCTAATTTTAGGTAACTTGCAACCTTCATTTAAAATTCCTCAGTTGCTCCAAACCTTCAGAAGAGTTTGCTATAAAACAACCAAATAAAACGTTGTGTGTCAGCAGGAGATGAGATGTGAGGGAGCCTGGTGTATTCAGAGAAAGCAAAACTCAGAGCCAGTGACTCTGAGATCATTAACTCTCAGGGGATGTGCCATCTTGGAGAGAACACTGTCCCTCTACCACAGATGAGATAGAAAAGGGACTTGAATCAATCTCAACCAAATCTCTGTGAACAAGGTGGCCTCGATTGGAATGGGATAACATAGTAGCTTGCTATTTTCAATCATAATTTCTCGAGACATTTATTATTAGAAAATGATAGGATACACAATCTCCCTTTTCTCTTCATTTATTTAATCTCAGGCATAATTGTTCTCATGAGCAAAATCTGGAAATTAGACCTAAACTATCTCTATGGTTCCTATGAGTTTATAGCTCTAATAATAATCTTGGAGATACAGTACAATGAGCAGATTGGTGGTTGCTAGAAGAGCCGGTAGACAGTGGGTGAAATGGGTGAAGGGGGTCAAAAGGTAGAAACTTCCAATTAATAAGGTAAATCCTGAGGATGTAATGTGGTCAGCATGGTGACCATAGTTAATCATACTGTATTGTATATTTGAAAGTTGCTAAGAGAGTAGATTTTCAAAAAGAAAAATCAACAAATATTTTTGATTTTTTGATGTAAATTGACAGTGAAATGTACAAACCATAGGTGTATCATTCCATGAGTTTTGACAAATGCATATACCTCTATAACCTTAACCAAGTTAGAGAGCTTTTCCAAAACTACAGAACGCCCCCTTAAGTCAAACTCACTCTCACTCCCAGGCTACCCCTTGTTTGACTCTGACCATAATGGATTAACTAATTAATAATTAAAATTTATTGTTAAATGCCAAGCTTTGTTTTATAATACTTTATTGGCATGAAGGCTTTTATTTCTCACAAGCGCTGTGAGATGGATGTTACCTGGATATACCCAGTGTAGCAATTAGGACCTGAGCAAGGGAGGTAGAATCCTGTGATCCTAATCTCAGTTTGTACCACACTGCATTGTGTGGGTTCAGAACAAGTCATCCCAAAATGTGCCTCTGGTATGCAAGATTGTTTTGAGTTAAAGGAAACTTTAGCCACCTGCTCAAGAACACTTCAGTCCCTTCCTTAACTACTTACTGAATTTGAATTAGGGGCCTTGCCCATAATGAGATTATCTGATCATTTTTGACCTTTGCATAGGGCACGCAGACTTTTATTTACTAAACATGTTTTTTTTTTTTTTTTATCCCCTTGCAATGACTCTTTGAAGCCCCAAGGTGCACTACCTCATCCCTAGGATATACACTCGTTTTACCCTTTCTGTCTCTGAACCTCTCCTGCATGTGGGGGTCTCTGATCTGTCATGCATTAAATTTGGTCATTTTCTCTTGTTAATCTGTCTCGTGTCTATTAGCAGCGGAGAGCACCTTGGGGATAAAGTTGGCTCCTCTCCGCACAGCATCTGAGATGGTATGGGAAGTCCACAAACATAACATCACAGGTCAAAATGCAAGGGAAACCCATGCTACTAGTGAGTTCTCAAACCTCTTGAATCATCCTAAATGCCGTATGCTTTACACCTTCCTAAAAGATTCCCTTCTCTCCCACGGCTCAGAAAGCAGTAGGAGCAAGGAGGTGTGAAAGGCTGCAAATGTGATTACACTGGTTGAGCAGCCCAAACAGAGGTGGCTCAGGTAGCAAACAAGTCTTGGGCAAGCCCAATGGGCGGAGGGAGGGGCCGGCTGGAGCTCCCTCCTCTGATGACACATGCGTCTTCTCGGAATCCAGCCGCTTCCAAGAGCTCAGCCGCGGGGACAGGACACGCGTCCTGCCACGCGGATGGCCGCTGGCAGGGTTTGTGAAGCTGCCCTATCGCTTAATTAGTCAGCCGTTCTCCTGTATTTCACCGTCTCCCTCTCTCCCAGACGCACCCTTGCAACTCCTTTGCCCAGCCCGAGGGCCAGGTTCCGGGCTCCTCCCCGAACAGATTTCGAGTACCCCTCACCGCCACCACTGGCAGCCGCGCTGTCATGGCAACCGTACGCCTCCTCACGCTCGTCGTGAACTAACGGACCCTGCGGAGTCGGCCTCCAGAGCCCCACCCCCATCGCACTACACCTGGACAGTCATCACCAACAGTCGGCTGATCTGCGGCACGTGGGTAATGAAGCCAAGAGAGTCCGGCCGGAGCAGCAGAGCAGGCAGTGGGGTGCCCAGGGTGACAGCCACACCCTGTACCCCGTCGCGGGCCCTTGGGCGCCGGTTGCCGCGCAAAGAGAGAGCCGCGGGGCGCCAGGCTCGCGGGTCATTGTGGGGATTGTAGTTCGGCGGCTCCTAGGACTCGCCGCCTTGGCTGCGCGGCCTGGACGGGAGAACTACAAAGCCCAGCGGCTCCGACGGCTGTAAGAGACAGATAAACTTTCAGCGGACCGTGAGAGAGAAAAATCTCTCTTTGTGGTGAGGGGTTCTTGGGTGGTCGCCGAACCGGGCACTGTGCACTAGGAAAGGAAAGTGGAGGTGAGATTTGACTTCTCGCCCGTATACGGCGCCCGCCCTGGCTGCCAAGCTTTGCCTTCCCCGGCGGGGCAGCGCCTCGCGTAGGCTCGGGGAGGAGCAGTCACCCCGTTGTGGGGCCACGGGCCTGCGGAACCTCTGACCCGCCCAGGTTGCTGCCTCTCCGTGCAGAACCGTATGTATGGCACACGTTTGATGTGAGACCCGACGAGCTCTCTTTTTATCAGGCTCTCCTGTTTTCCCTGATGCGATGTCTAGATGTTTAATCATGTGTATATGCAGTGGCCCAGAGGCGTTTGCATATTAAACCCATTGATTAATAATTACGCAAAGGGCATTGATGTTTAAAGGTTAAGTGTAGAAGCGGATAAAAGATACCGTGCTTGTTATATAGTAGTATCTGGAGTTTTTACCGTTTTGCATTTTTACATTTTATTTATTGGGGGACAGGATTGCAAAATGAGTTACTCCCACCCCCAGCTTGAACAGTGCCCACACGTATTTTGATTCTACTTTGAAGATTAATTGAACTTTAAAGTACAGTAGTAGTAATTTTTAAAGCACAGGGTTTTTTTTTTTTTTTTTAGCAGTGAGTAGTAATATTCCCTTTGATTAGTCCATTGTTTTTCAGAATTGCTCAGGAGTATGTTTTCAGGATGAAAAATGCCGTATTCTATTATTATTATCATTATTTATTAATACTCTGGAGTACACCTTAGTCCTTAGAGTTGGCTGAGGCTCCAGTGGTGGTAAGAAAGCTGACTGAGATCTAGGCAACCTTACTTGACCCTTTAAAATTTTTTTGACAGGCAGATAACTATCCTAGAAATTTGGTATTTTATATAGCATGTTAAAATTATTGGTAGTATTGTGAGCTTATTTGTGTGTGTGTGTGTGTGTGTGTGTGTTTTAAAAAATAAAGCGGCATAAAACCAATGTAAAATTCCTTTTCTCAATTAAAATGAAGCTGGTCTCTCTAAATTTTACTTAAAGTAGTGATTTTGTGCAAGGGGATGGAAAGTAGGTTTGGTAAGACCATTAGAAAAAAAATCGAAGCCTTCTGTTACATAGTATAGGGATTTTAAGTATTTTATTTATTCATTCAGGATTTATTAAGAACTTATTATGTGCCAGGCATTATTCCAGGTGGTGGGAATATAGAGATGATAGAAGATAGTGTGTGTCCTGCATGGGGAAGAATCATGTCATCACAATAGTGTGATACAGATGGGTGCAAGTTGCTATAGGAGCCCAGAGGGGGAATCAATAGTAACATAACACTAACATTTATTTAATGCTTACTTTTTGTGAGACACTGTGCAGTGTATTTTTAAGGTAACCCCTTATTGAATCTTCACAATCTCGTCAAGTAGTTACTGTCATTTAGAGATGAGGAAACAGACCTACGGACTTTGCCTAAAATCATAGCTGATAATGTGTGAGCCTGGGATTTCAACCCACATGGATCTAACTCATCTAAATCAGGATTTCAAACTAGTGCCATTCTCTGTACACATTGGTAGAAAGATCCTGACTCTACCTAAGGAGATCAGGGCAAGTCCAGTATAATGTGACATTTGACTTGTGCTAAGAAAGTTGAGTACACTTTCATTGGAGAGTGGATGAGGAAAGTCATTCTGGGCAAATGGGACAACATGCTTTTTGGATAGATTTGAGTGCTTTGTATTTGGGGAACTCTAGGTCATTCTAATGACAATCCCAGAACACATGCAGTGTAGCAGGACAGGCCAGATCTTGAAGTGCTTGGTAAAGAGTTTAGAATTTTCATTCAACGTGTGTTCACCCTTGAAGAATTTCAAGTGGAGTTAGTGTTATTTGGTATGTATTTTAGAAAGAATACTCCAGCTCCAGTGTGGCGAATGGACCTATGAGAGGATAGAGTGGTGGTGGGGAAACCAATTTTAGAACAACAACAAAGTCCAGTAGAGAAATGAAGAGAGTCTGAACTAAGTAGTTGGAGTTATAGAAAGAGATGAATTGTAAAATTATTTAAGAGGTAAAATTAATAAGACTTAAGAGTTTGGATGTTGGGGGCCAGAAAAATTTGGAACCCTAAGACAATTGATTCCTAGTTTTCTGGCCAGAACAACTGACAGTGTCATGAAACCATTGATTGAGGTAAAGAGGAGCAGGTTTTTGTGAAGGTGAAAGTTAAAGATAAAGCAGTTCAGTTTTGAGTATTTGTTCCAGGTTCCTGTGGGTGTTCAGGTAAGGATGCATGTGGGTCTGGAGTTCGGAGAGAACTTGGGCCTGGAGGTGGAGGTTTGCATGCAGATCAGCAGTGAAGTGATAGGAGAGAATGGATCAGCACAGAGGAGGATGCTTAGAAATGAAAAAGGGAGAAGTTTGAATATGGAACTCTTGCAAAGTAGCAGCATTTATGGTCTGTATGCATGTGTGTGCACGCATGTTTTGGGGCATTTTGAGAGGAAGTGAGAGAAAAGCTGACACAGGATACTGAAGTTAGGAGGTAAGAGGAAGAGCCCCAGAGAGCATGCATAACAAACTGCAGAGGAGAAGGAAAGGAAGCAGGAAGTAGGCCAGAGTATCAGGTGCCTCAGAGAGGGCAAGTAAGGTAAAGGCTGAAGAATGTCCAGTGGATTTGGTGACTCCAAATCATTTCTAAACTTTGCAAAACTGAGGAAGAGGAATCTGAGCATAGGCTACTTGAAAAAGAGTTAAAAATTTTCCATAATAATCCATATCAAAAGGAAATAGAATGAGCCCCCATGTAGCCATCACCTAGCTTGAAGAGTGAACACATAACCACTTTTGTTTCATTTTTAACACCTGCCCCCTCAACTGGATTATTTTAAAGCTAAACTCAGATATCGTATCTTTTTATCTGTGATTTAAAAAATATATATCTTTAAAAGTTAAGGATTACTTAAGAATGTATACATATGATACCCAACTTAAAAAATTGACAGTACTTCCTTAATATGAAACTTCCAGTCCCACTATTTTCTTTTTTAAAGAAGCTTGGCTATGTAGAAAAGAAAGAGATGAGGCAGTATAAGTAAAGAAGTTTGTAGAGTTTTTTGTTTGTTTTAAGATTGATTATAAGTTATTAGGGAAAAAGCCAATAAAGAGGAAATGTTTGAAGTTGTAGGGGTGAAGAGAGAGGAGAGAGCTGATAGAGATCCCAAAAAATGTAAGAAAGGATAGGATGAGCAGGGAGAAAGAATTAATTTGTTGCATTTTATAAGGATCAACTAAGTGCTAGCAGTGTTCCTAGGCAGAGTGCTAGTGTTGAGAGAAGAGAGATATACTGAAAAAGGAAGAGAAGAGGTACAGGATACTGACAGGTTGGGTGGTGAAAGATCAGCAAGTTCAACACTATGATTTCTAAGGGGTGGATGGCAATAAAGTTCAACTGATAAGGGAAGAGCCTGGAGTTAGGAAAGGAGAGTGTTGGGATTTGGCATAGCCATGGTGGAAAGGGCACTGAGCTAGGACAAGTAAGAATTGTTTCACTGAGCCGAGGTTAGAAATCAGTAATTTTCAGTGACAGCAAAACATGAGGTTGTGATTATCTTCCTTAAATTTTGATTGATTGATTTACTAAGGGAGAGCTTAACATAGGAAACTTGTGCTACTGGGAAGAGAATCAAGGCTAAGAACTTATAATCAGACCATTCCTCAACAATTTTGGATTTATTCATTTAATTGATTATTGTTGTCTATTTTGTGTAAATATCACAGTAAAACTAGATAGGCCCTTACGGATGGGTCAGGTTAATACTTTGTACTTCATTTTCTCAACATGTGCAATTGTATTCTTTTATAAAGGACATTCTCCAGGGGTCAGTTTCTGAGTGGTGTAGTGAAAGGAGTCAGACACATGTGTTGTCCAGTTCTGAAACCACAGTTTATTGTCTGTGATCACAGGCAAGTTTCCAAACCTGTACCCATACTAAAAAAGATGTAAATATTGTCTGTATTTTATAAGATTATTGGGAAAATTAGACAGTTTTATGGAGGTAAACCTTTAGCACTGAATAACAGAAGACCTTTCTCTTCCCTGTCTTCCCCCTCCTTACCACCAATGTGACAGCATTGTTTTTTCTGTTGGACAAAAGACCACGTTCTGGGACTGTACCTGACCATATGAGACAGGTAGATCAAGTAGTAACATTACAAAATGATAATTTTATTTATAAAAGGACTCATCATTCTTTTAATGCGGCTTCTTTAAAAACATAAAGTGTTATTTTGTAGTCCATTAATAGTAGTAATGTCTTGTTTATTTTTTTAAATGTCAAAATCCATTATTTAAAAAAAAAAAAGAAGGAAGTCCTACCTTTTGCGACAACATGGATGGAACTGGAGAATATTAAGTAAAATAAGCCAGTTGGTGAATGACAAATACCATATGATCTCACCTATAAGGGGAATCTATTCAACAAAGTAAACTAATGAACAAAATAAACCACAGGCATGGAAACATGGAGCAGACTGAAAGTGACCAGAGGGGATGGGGAAAGAGGACAATGGTGGAAAGAAGGGGAAGGGACTAGACAAAGAATGTGTATGAATGACCCATGGACATGGACAACAATGTGGGAATTGACTGTGGGAGTGGGGGGCAGGGTGGGATGGGTGGAGTAGGTCAAAGGGGTAAAAATTGAGACAACTGTAATAAAATAAACATGATTAAAAAAAAGAAGAAAATGCTCTGAGGGGATTGGGAAATAGTAATGTCTTTGACTTGGTTTCATTTTCTGAGAAACAAGAGAGTTGCACTACATTATTTGAGATCCCAGTAGCACTAAAATTCTTTGATTCTGTGACTACGTCTCATTTCTGGGCTGATTTATATTATGATTTCACTAATATTTGAGCATCTGTTTATAAATGAACATACATGTATATTTTAATGTACTCAGCATTATTCTAAATACTTTCCTAGATAAATGGTAGACCTAGTGAAAGTATGCTTTAGAATACCCGATAAAAGTCAGACATGTACAGGTATTTGC